TCTGGGAGGCTGTTTCAGTGCAGCGCTAGACTCTGAGAGTGGAGTAGTGAGTGGAGTGTGTGGTACTGGGGTGGCGAGACATTGGGTTGAACTCTGTAACGATAATTGGGGTTAATTGAGTTGAGTTGGCTCATCATCTGTGTCATATTCCAATTGTGATCTTTGCAGTGTCATATTGTGATTGGTTGTTGGGAGTGTGTCAGAGAGAGAAACACTGTGTGTATTCTCCCCTTCTATGCATGGTTGCTATTCCGCTGCTCATCTCTGGTATGTGTGCAGTTGGACTCTGTCTCCTCCTCCCCTTTGTCTCATGCATGTATGGGCGTGTGCGAGTTCTTCTGTGTGTGAGTGGCAAACAAATTGTCAGACAACCAAGTTCATAACAGTTGGTATCGGAGCGGAGATTGGACTTGGAGCTCAGAGGGTTGAGCGCAACAGGGGCATCCTCTTCTTCTGGCCCTAACTGGCGAGAAGTTCCATGGAGGCTCTGCATCTTCAGTGAAGATCCAGGGGAGAAGAGGACATACAAGCAGTGATTGCAAAGCATCAGTGTGCGAGTGATCAGGCACCCTGAGCCTGTCAGAGTGCCTGACAGGAAGTGGCGAGAATAGGGGTATTTCGCCATCCACCCTTCTGACCTCAGTTGATGACTGGGATCAGGGTGGCGAATTACACCCTAATCCAGTGATAACTGGGTGGCGGCTTCAATCCCAGTATAGCGCTGAGGGAGAATTGATCGCAGGATCAATCTCCTGCTGAATTAACCCTACTCAGGGCTAAATTCAGCACGAGCGGCTTACCCCTGCAATGGCAAGATATCTTCAGGAGAGTTCTCTCTCGCCACTGAGGCAGATCCAGTGAATCTGAGAGTTGGGGGTGAATCGCCACATCATACTGGACAGAATCAACAAGTTTCAGGAGATTCTACGCGTGGGAATCAGTGGAAGAGTGTCTGCATGCAAGCGGCGAGACCAGGGTCTGGCAGCCATAGCCTGAGCTTCATCATCCACTGGGTCAAACACTTCAAGTGAGTGTGTTCCGTGTGAATCCCTATGTAGCGATTAGATTAGTATTAGTAAAGTCTGAATTGATGGTCTGTCTGTTAGTAGAGTCACAATTTTGAAATTGTCAGACTGCAAGACAGCCATAGCCATCTTCTTCCTCCCTACCCTGACTCATATCTCACTATCTACTGACCTGTTCTGACTCAAAATTGTTATGGGACTGTATGACAGTATTGCGTTGCACCCTGTATGCTCATTCAGTGAATTCTGTACAGAAAAGGTAGTGATACTGTGGATTTGAGTTTTGCGCTGAGTCTATTTATAGTTTGTGCTATCTAGGGTCAGTCACAACTCAAAATCTGTCCGTCAGAATTCAAGTCTGTCAGTCTGGGGTGAATCGCAATTCAATTTTTGTCATCTGTGCTGAAGTGCTAGTCCAGAATCAATGAATTTGAGCCATTACAGTGAAATTCTGAAATTCGCCATATCTGGGAGTATTTCTGTTGATGTCAACAGTGGCGAAATCTAAGTTTAGGGCTGTCAGGGTGTAGGTTACTGCATCACTACTACTTGTTGTGTTCCAGTTAATTCTTGCCTGCCCATCACTACCACTAATCTTCTTTGTTTTCTGATGGGCCCTGAAATGTTAGAGACCTCTGGAATGCACTGAAAGTGTGTGTTGCACCTTCAGGAAAGGTTCAGTGTCAGGCAAAGGAAATCGTTAGTGAATGGTTTTACTGGACTAATAGTCAGTCTGATTACTGACCCCAGTGGTTCTATTCCAACCCTAACCGTTTGTGCCCACTAACCCACCTTACCCTGTGAACTGCCAGTGCAGCGATTTCTGAGTATCTGAGGGGATTGAAAATCGCTGCATCTCAGGCTGTCTAATTTTATTATTTTGTTGTTTTGAAAAGGAAGATGTCTGACGCAGCTGACTCAGGTGCAGGGAAGGTAGAGGTAGTAGTCAAGGAGGAAGAGCAACCTTCCCCCTCTGCTCCTACCCCTCCTCCTCTCACCCCTGCTCAGCGGCGCAAGAGAGAAATTCAGGAAAAACTGCGAGAGCAACAGGCGCTGCTCGCAGAAGCTGAGAGACACGAGGCTGCAGAATTAGAGGCTGCAACAGATGCTTCCAGAAAGGAGTTTCTGCTGCAGCAAGCAGAGAAGACCATGTCTGAT